GTTGATAGAGCAAACATTTTTCTACAAAATGAGACATTCGGCAGCTCTAAGTGCTTTTTTATAACTGGTTCGGAACGACTTTACTAAATGCCCTAACATCAATTATTAACCGGTGCATGCAAATATTGGGTACACAATAATATTAAGACCCAATATTATTGAATAGCCACTAATATTGTACAATATCTTCAATAATGATTGGTATTGGCGCATGCCTAAGCGGACCTGAGTATAAAATTTCAAAATATGAAAACATAAGGAGAATATAAACTTCGTACTGAATGAACACTATGAAATACTTCGATAATAGATTCTCATCCAATTTGACAAGAATCTTACATAAAATAATCTATGTCTAAAGAGGATCTTTGTATAAGGTTATCAAAGACTAAATTTTTCTATCCTCACGAGCTTAGACAAATGTAAGCAAAAAAATTTTAGACAGAGTTTAATATGATTTGCGTAGAACTTCAACAAAATTTAAGTTCAAAAAATAAAAAGCAACATAACGACAAAAGTAGAGAAAATAAGGCCTCTCTGACATAAGTAAAAGTACATTAAACTCTTTTGTTCTGTAGTTATTAAATTCGTTCATTACTCTCGTTATCGTCAACCTGATAATTCTGATTTACTATACCACCTATCAATGGAAATACTGATAGCTTTGGTTGTTTTGCCGCCAGTGAAGAATCGACCAGCACATTTTCAGTTATCACTGGATATCCATTTATAGTTTGTAGGTTTTTATTCAAATGTCGATAAGGACCGATATGATTCATATTCTTTTTTTGGACCCCAATCGTCAGCCGGCGCATTGTTGCGCAAAAATGCTTGTAAATAACGTGGTTTTTCTTCATAATTTTGAGTATAGTTAAGATGATCATCAGTTCCATGACTAATGGCTACAGACTAAAGTGACAAAATCAATATATCAAACCTTCTTCGTATATTTTCCGTAGTACACATCGTGTTAAGCTTTATCAAATGTAAGCCTATTTTCTATAGAATGTAATCATACTTTTTGATAATATGCGCTAAACAAGATTCACTTTTTAATGCGACGCCTCGTCATCTTATTATAGAGATTCTACGATGATCACTCATATCCATGCCTGTGAACATCCTGGGATAAAATGTTATAATAAACACAGCGAATAACATACGCTTTCTTCTCGTCTTAATTGTTGATATTCTTTAATATAATTCACTACATAAGCAATCGGTATGGGAATAATACAAAGAATAAATATAATCCAACCAATGGCTAAATAACAAATGGTTGCCATCACAAAGAAGCAATTTCAATATTTCCATATAGACTCATTTCAATAAATTCCTCGATATGATAGAAGCAATGAACTTCTAGGTCTTGTTTTCAGTAATTTATGCTAGAATCTCTCGTTCTATACAGGACGGTAAATATCGGGAGGATTCTCCCTCCCGAATATTTGAAAGTCTTGTTGGTTTTAATCAACGATAAGTTACTTAAAAGAAACTAACTTTCCCCACACGTATCTGTATGAATTCTACTCCATGGACTATATTGAATATTGATTATCTCTCAATTCCTTTACACTCTCCTGTAATGTCTGACTCCTATTTGTGGCATTGAATCTATGTTCATAGTTTTATTGATTTGCAGCCTTTAATGCTAACCTCATTGAAAACTTAATGATGATACTTACCTATACTCCACGTTGGAAAAAGGTAGTTTTCACTTTTCAGTGGTTTTGCTTGTATTAAACTTGATATTATTACCACCTAAAAACAAAGTGATCAAACAAAATATAAACATTTTCATTTTTCTATTAATTACTAGCATGAGAAGTGGTGCAGTTACGTTCCATGTTAAAAATAAATAATATTCTGCAACACGTTTTCCTAGCATCATTTTAACATTATTCATAAAACGATTGAAACCTTTAAATGAACAAAAAAAAAGAAGTATTTATAGAATACACAATCTATGGAAACGTTTTAGTACATACCATAAATATAAGAAACACAAATAACTTCAAAAAAGCCAACAACCACCATCGATAAAGCAGCTGCATATTCTTGTATGAGTTCAAACCAATAGTAACCACCCTATAAAAGATAATATTCAACTAAAATAATTAACTGTTTTTCTTTTTGAATATTTTATTCATACCGGACAAGTAAATGGTAAACTGACAAAATATGCTGTAACACATGTGGTAATAGCAACATATGATCGTTTATTTTTCAATCTTGGATACAATTCACATAGTGATGTGACAGGAACATCGGTTAAGGCAAACTATAAAATAGAAACAAAATATATATTTCTTATATTTGATGAAAATTAGACTTTTACCTGTGAGCCAAGTCCAAGTGCCAATAACATGAGAAAAAATATAATAGAAAAAAATGGACTTGCTGACATTTTTGTGATGGCTTCTGGATAGGTAATAAATGCGAGCCCAGGACCGGATGATTTAGCATAATCTGAAACAGATGTATTTAATTCTTTTGCCAAAAATCCAATAGTAGAAAATACAGTAAATCCGGCAAATATTCCGGTAAAACAATCGCATAATACAACAATACACATTTGCCTTAAATGAATAAATCGAGTTGTATGATATGAAAGAAAAAAAGTAGAAAAGGAACTATATTTACTTGAAAAAGTTGTTATTGAACTTGTTTGAACTCGAATATGCAATTAAAGAACCAAAACTTAAACTTAATGAAAAAAATACTTGTGTAGCAGCTGCCTGCCATGTCTACGAAAAGACGAAAAAAAAAAGAAAAGAAAATTCATTTCATGAAAAGTTCAAAAATCACTCGATTAACATACAGAAAATTCACCAATTTTTTCTGTTTTTGGAATAATATAAAATTTTAT